TTTTTCGTATGAGAAGATGCATGTTCAGATCTTGAATTTGAAAGAGAAAATGGTACGTATAAAGGCCATTAAATTGGTTAAGATACTGTGGCGTAATCATCTAGTTGAAGAGGTAATTTGGGAACGCGAGGATGAGATACGTGAGAAGTACCCACATCTATTCTCATGATTTACTCAAGTTAGTTTCGAGGATGAAACTTTTCTTTTAGGGGGGGAGAATGAGAGAACCCAAATACGAAAATAAAATAAATAATTAAATAATAATAATTTTACAATCTCAAATATTTTTCCTATGAATCTTGAAGTGCAAATTAAATACTATTAGACGATATTTTGATTAATTTTAAACCTAAAATAAATTTATGATTGTCACACCCCAAGCCCGAGTATGACTGGCTGTAGCCCACAGGGCCTTAGCCTAAGGCACATGTAAGCCTAAATACGAATCCATAAACACATTGAATAACTATATAATAATCCAGTAATAAATAACCAAAACTCAATCCAGTGACATGCAATAATTATAAACGGCAAAACCAACCGTAATCAATACCATCTAAACTTATGGGATATAAACAGCCCACATATCAAAATAATCCTAAATGAATCCCAATAAAAATAAAAATAAATATGCACAAACTTGACATAAAAATCTAAAACAAAATAAATGAATGTCCTAAAGGTCCATGCAATGGAGTCCCAACTACGCCATGAGTCCACTCTAAGTCCTTTTAACACCTAGAAATGATAAACAGCTAAGTATGCTGATAGCTTAGTAAATAACAACATAGATAGTATATACAGTTTTGAAAACAGGGATCAATTCCAAAATAAGATATATATCACAGAAACTAGATTGACATACACTTTTGATAAAGATAATCTATTTCAAAAAGAAGGTTCCACAGTTCAACAGTTAAAATACTCATGTCTCTCAAGAACATGATAATGACATTTTTCACTTAAAATAGATTACAACATGAACACCAACAATTTTATGGGTACCAATAATTTTATGGGTACCAAGAATAGCAATTAACATGCCACATAGTTCTCAAGGCAATAGGTCCGTTGGATCCAATATCGAACCAAGAGTCATCCTCGGGGTGGCAACCTGGGCCTTTTCTCTAAGACGATCCAATTGAAGGTTACCTAGCCCAACCCAGGTCTTTTCCTTATAATCGTTGAACATTAGAGTCATTACGACCCAACCCGGATCTTTTCCCTAGTGGCGAGAGTCACTACACACGGTGGAATAATTTTCCTGGACTAAATATACAGATGGTCCTGATAATCAATATAATTCAATTTCGCAAAATATGGTAATTCACCATTATAAACATGAGGTCATAACAAATAGTTTACAGTATGCCAGGTTTACACATGATTCAGAAATTATTTTAATTCCATTGATACTATAATAATTTATCAAAATAGTTTAGTCCTGAAACAACAATTCAATTTTCCAACAATTCAGGGTAGGGGAACATTTATAAAAATATGTAGCATGCAACTACTCATCTGAAAACGAAACAATGTAATCCTCGAATAGAGTATAAGAGTCCAATTAGTGCCCTGAACTAAGCATGAAAACTACACGTCACTTCTAATTTAAAAATACTAAAAAATAAGAACTAAGTAACCCCAAACTAAAGCGCACTAATACGGCTCAACCCAACTCACCGTTGTTGGAAATGGTTGGAAAATTCTGGGTAAAACCAGAATTTTTTCCTAAGTTTGGTCTATTTTTTAGGTGAGCCCCATGCGTCGATTTTTGCGGGTCAAAGTGGTAACACGTATTATGCCACGTTGTGATTCACGTGGTATATTTGGTTGCTCAAAACCATTACCGAGTGAATAGGAAATTGAAGCCAAAGTATACTCCATAGAAATAGAGTTTTGGTGGAAAATCCTTAAAGGTTTGAATAAGGCTTGTCCCACATTGATTTGGTGGGATGTTTTGAATGGGTTTATAAGGCATGAGATTAGAACTTGGGGTGTGCCCCAAGGGATACCCAAGTGTTTTAGAGAGGGAGGTTATGGGCAAAATGGGCTAGACTCGTTGGACCCAAAAATCACCACGCGCGCGCACCGTACGTCCGGTCAGCTGGGCTGGGCTGGGCGCGGGTGCGTGGTGTGAGGTTGGGCTTGTTCAGCCGAATACTAATCTTTTTTGGCCAAAAACATTTGAATTTAAATTTTATTTTTTGAAATAAAATTTGTCCAAAAATTAATTCTGAATTTTTGTTCAGATTTAAATTTTAAATTCAAATTGTTGCACCACTTCACAGACAGACCCGAGTTTGTCTAGATTCAAACCCAGAACTAAATTTGTTTTGTTCAAATTCAAATCCACCCGAATTTCAAACCAAACAGTGCCTTAAACAGATTTGTATCTGTTTAATTCAAATTGAACAGGTACAGTATCAGTTTAATTCAAAATGGAAAGCCATCAATTCATCTATAAATAGACTAGCCCTTATTTGTTATTAGATTCACTAATTTTCGTCCATAAATTTCAGCATTCATACTTTTCATTTTGCTGCATTATTTTCTTGTCAGAGAAAGTATAAAACACTTAGTGTGTTCGTTGTACAAATATATTGTAGTGCTGCATATATTTGTTGTAGATTATTTCATCCTGAGAGATAGACGTTCATATTCTGAAAGCACCGAGGAGAGGACGAATCTGTCTTAAGGACACAGTGTCAAACATTGGGCTTGATCAGAATAATATTCAACAGATTAATCAAGTAAGTTATTTATTTATTTTCTGTTTTATTATTATTTATTTAAATCAGATTTTAATTTTGTTTTGGTAACAAAATAAAATCTGTTTTTATTTATTTAACTCTATTTCTAGTTTAATTTTTGTAATCAAACATTTTTCTCTCATTTTCTTTATTTCTTTATATTCTAGTTGTTGTTTAGTACACAATAGAATTGAATCTATTTAAATGCAGTGAAGATTGTCCAACAACCGTTACTCTTAAATATTACCCAAGCTCATGTTCTTCAAGATCTAAAATCACCTAAGACATGGGTTCAAATCGAAACTTAATTAAAAGTAACTTTAAGATAAAACAGAATTTTAAACAAATTTTCCCAATCTATTCGCTAACTTTGAAAATTACAAAACCCACTCCACGCTCTAATATGTCCTAAGTTTCCAACCCAAACGGTTTTACTTGATTTGCTTACCAAAATAATTATTTACAATTAATTATGCCCAAATAGATTTTTTTTGCAACACTTTAAAGAAATTAATGGTTCTCTTAGTATACACGAGCAATCAATGCAAGGCAAAAAATGTAAAAAACTAGACTCATAACCGGTTCTAATGACGCTGATTTGATAATTTTCGGATTTATACCCAAAGAGAACGACGCTTCCGAAGTTACCATTTTACTCCAATTTCTGGACAGATTTGAACGCACCAGTTAATATAAATTTTGACTCCCAAAAATTATGAGAAAATTCTGATATGCAATTCAATATGTAATTAATCTACTGTAAAAATTTTATTTCAAAATTCATCCATTTGATATGATTTCTTGATTTTTAAAGTTTGTGATTCTATGCAGAATTTTTAGACTAAGAATTACACCTATTCTTTATACATGAATTTAACTCCTTAGATTTCTTAACAATATATATATACACAAAATACATACACCTACGACTACACCAAACGTGGAACTGGAGCTATTAGAGAAACTAAATTAGAGAATAGAATAAGGCTAAAGAAGAAAGCTAGAACTCTACATCCTTCACATGAATTTAACTTAGATTCCCTAGCAATATATACAGAGTCAAAATCCTCTCCTTGCACTTCCTCCTTGCATTTCCTACTTGCAGGGCAATTGGACCCACTTTTAGGCCCAATTTTGATAATCCGAACCGTTCATATTTTAATATTTTTTCAGTATATCATACTTGTAAAAAATCAAGTTGATCGGATATCAGAAAGCATGTGTTCCGAAAATTGTTTATTAAATTTAAAAAAAAATAGTTTTTAGTTCGATTTTTCCGAACACATGCTCTCTGATATCCGATCAACTTGATTTTTTACAGGTATGATATATTGAACAAATCTTAAAATATGAACGGTTCGGATTATCAAAATTGGGCCTAAAAGTGGGCCTAATGGCCTTGCAAGTAGGAAATGCAAGGAGGAAGTGCAAAGAGAGGATCTTGACTCTATATCTATTGCTAGTGAATCTGAGTTAAATTCATGTAAACGATGTAGAGTTCTAACTTTCTTCTTTATCCTTATTCTATTCTCTCATTTATATACACAAAATATATACACCTACAACTACACTATTCTTGGAAGAGTAAGGATGCCCTCCTTGCATCATTTCTTACTTGCAGGGCCATTGGGCCTACTTTTAGGCTTAATTTTGATAATCCGAGCCGTTCATATTGTAAGATTTGTTCAGTATATCATACCTTTAAAAAATCAAATTAATCGGATATCAGAAAGCATGTGTTCGAAAAAATCGAACTAAAAACTATTTTTTTAAAAAATTTAATAAATAGTTTTCCGAACACATGATTTTTGATATCCGATTAACTTGATTTTTATAGGTATGATATACTAAACAAATTTTAAAATATAAACGATTTAAATTATTAAAATTGAGCATAAAAGTAAATTCAATGGCCGTGCAAGTAGGAAATGTAAGGATGGAGTGGATGGAAGGGATCTTGACTCCATCCAAAAGAGTAACTAAAGTAAGAATAGAATGAGGATGAAAGAAGAAAGCGAAAGTCTGCATCATTGCATAATAAGGATAAGAAAAATGCTTGGGAGCACTAATTAGTGCTCCCACTAATTAGATGACAGTGGGTCTCGTTATTAATGATGTGATATTTTAGTCTTAGAGTTGTATTTTTTTATTTTATTTTTTATTTTTTTAATACATTAATACTATTAGTAGTGATGTTTTTAGTGAAATGAATCATTGTTGTAAGGATAAAAAGAAGAAAGCTAAAGAAGACAGCTTGAAGTTTACATCATTGCTCCTCTATTTAACCGACTACAAGTCTGAGCAAGGTGAGACCACTCAAGCGCATCTCTCTCTGTTTCTCTGATCTTTCCTCCTCCTCCTCCTCCTTGTTTTTGGGTTTGTTTTTGTTTTTCTTGTTTTGAGTATGCTTATCCGTACCCTCCTCCTCGTCTTGATGCCCCGCCTGAACCAGTAATTCCATCTGGGTCGACGGACTTGGGCGGTTTTCCGGCCTCCAACACGACCCAAGAACACTTGGGGACCCAAGTTCCGCCGGCTGCTGAATCAATGATTCAAATTCTCGATCATTTTGATGCGGCCGCTGACACCACCGCCGAGCCTTCTAAATCAGTGGCCCAAGCTCATCCTCCTCATCCTCCTGTTGATGCCCTGCCTGAACCAGTAATTCCACGCAATGCTCAGCAACAAGACCTAGGATTGCCAAAGCTAGTTTTAGCGTTCTGCTTGACAGCAGCTTTTGAAATCGCCTTCCGATCCATCCAGACTCATAAACACTACCCTATAACCTTCCAATTGATGTGTCTCTTAATGGTGTTTGCACTCGCTTTTCTCGTTGTTGCTAAATACATCGTTGCCAAGTACCCAAAATCAGGCCGCTTGCTTGAGCACGCTGGACTACTCTGTGGAGTTACCGCTTTCTTTGCGGCCATCACCGTCTCTTTCTCTCTCTGCCTCAAGCTCATTTCCTGGATGGTATATGCTCTTTCATTGCTTGCCATTTCCATCTGCAATTGCCCTCCACCACTGTGAACCCCTAATGCTAATCCTGCACAAGATTGTCGTTCAGGTTGCTCTTTTTTTTATGGATATTAATTTTAATTATTATTAGCTGCTTTTAAAGGATTTGGGAGTTTTGCACTGTTTGTAAAATTGTCTTGTTTATTGGAATTACTTCCATCAATTATTAGTATAGTTTCATTTTTTTGATTATGCTCATTGATAGTGAATGTGTAAGGGCTAGCATATGATTGAATTGCACAGGAACTCCCATTTGCAAAATTTTCAGGATCTGGAATCTGAAATTCAAGTTTTACTTTTCCTCTTCAATTCACTGTATGATAATTTGTGGAAACTAAGAGATCGCATCGACTGTTCACAAGAAATGTGCATTTGATCCCAAAAGCAATATTATTAATGCAATTTGGTGATGGAAAACAAGTAGTGAACATTTTTGTTACATAAAGTTCGATTATTGATAAGCATGATGTGGTTGGAGGTGCTATGATTCATAGGATCGAAATATATTGGTTGAAGTGGAAGAGTATGTGACACATTGACGTATTATGTGATTCGTATGAATTTACTTATTTAACTTAGCATAAAATCACTGATAGAAAAATGATTCGTGTAGCCAACCACACTTGAATGGCACATAAAACTTAGCTTTGATTTGGTTTGGTTTTTTGATGGGGCATATTCAATAAATGAATTCTATCAAAACAAGAAAAAATCTAGAAGAAAAGGGGAAAAATCCAAGGAACAAATCCCATTGCACATATTGTCACCACTTTTCAAGATGATGTGAAACTACGTTGGAGAATCTTTTATTGAAGGCCAGCTCCTTCTTCCTGTGTAATAATTTGACTAGGTAATTGGTATTTCATGTGAAAATGGTTCTGATATCACAATTTGTAAGTATTAACAAGAAGCCTCAAAAAGCAATGAAGTTTATGCTATGAATTTTTCTAGAATACAAAAACAACGCCACATCAAAACAATAGGAGAATCTTAAATTTCTTGTTAAAGATTATTTTGCGGTGAAGATGACGGTCGTTAATGCACGTTGTTGTCATTTAGTTGTTAGATAGTTTGATATACATTGTTGGGTTCATTTCCTAATAGTTTAAGCTTTTGAAAAAAATTGGTAATGTAACATGGTATCAAAAAGGGTGACCATTGGTTCAATGGTTAAAACTTGGCCTGATAACCTTAAGGTTATGGGTTCAAATCTTGGGGCCACCACTTTGTGCATTACGTCAAAGGTTAGGTGTGTACTCAATCTTTCCCCTCCCAAACACACATTAATGTGTACTAATTGAGCGTTGTTTTTTGTAACATGGTATCAAAGTTTTGGTTAAGAGAGGTCTTGGGTTCAAGTCTCTTAGTTGACATTTGGTATTTTGTCCGTATTTGGTTTCTCCCTCTTTGTTTTGTTGTTTACTTCTCCTTCTATTTGGTTCTCTATTTGTTTCTCCACGTGCAAGACGGGGTTGCACTTGAGAGAGGCTGTTAGATAGCTTGATATACATTGTTGGGCCCATTTCCTAATAGCTTAGGCATTTGAGAAAATTGGTAACTTAACACTAAAGGTGGTAAAAAAGAAAAAGAAAAAATTTATTCATGTGCCAACATTTTTTTAAATGTTTCTCATATTGACATGTTGTTGAAATGTCTGTTGACAAATTGATGGATGATGGTTCCTTGTATTGTTATTATAGTGGTTTAACTTTTCAATGTCAATGTCATGATTGACATTAAATAAATTACGAGTATTTGTAGAAAATTACGAGTTAAATAAATTACACTAGCAATATCAATTTGTTGCATGATTTCTTTTCCCTTTCCTAAGTGAGAATTGCTTGTTGATGGGTTCTTGACTTGTTTATGGGTATGACTTTGATAAGTTTTATAATGCAAATATATGTATTGAATGGTATAACATTCCTTGTTTTTTAAACTAAAATATTAGTTGTTAATTTCATCTAATCATTAATGTCAACCGTGTGGAACTGCTCTAATATGTACTGATGTTGATTGCATTTTGTTCTTTGAAGGGATTGGAAATAAGCAAAGAACCATGAAATGGAATAACAGGTACACAATACATGTCTTGTTCTTGAACTTTATGTTCTCTCTTATGTATTTGTATGTATGCTTCTTGAACTTGTATTCACTAGTTAATTGTTTCAAATATATGCTTCAAATTTGCATAACAGTCCTTTTCTATTTTTTTCACCTTCATTCTCTTCGTCTCTTTCACTTTCCAATGCCGACCAGTACTCCATTGCCCTCCATAGCCATCACCCACCCCTTCTCCAACCTCCACAACCACTGTCACCGCTATGGAGGGCAAGAGAGTAGTGGTCGGCATTGGAAAGTGATGGAGACAGAGAGAATGAAAGAGAAAAATAGGGAGGACAAAGTGCAAAAGTGGGAGATGAGGTAGATGCTGATATTTGCCATTAAAGTTATGCAAATATTGTAAAAAATTGAACTCTTTCTTTTGAAGTACTGGAGTAGTCTATAAACTAATATGCAATTCAATAGGATTATGCATAGTGGCTCACAAGGCTAACTAACAACATAATCTATATCTAGGTGAGTATGAGATGGATAAATTAACTTACCAACCAGCCTCTGATATCGCTCCCTGTCAAATGAATCTTTAGTTTCATCCCCTAACATGCAATTCTGCTCCAACATGGTATCAATAGCTTTATACCCAAGCACACTTTGTCCTTGAGAAGGTCCAAAACATATGTTCTTAGTGAGATAAACACTCTCTTTGAGATGTTGCAACGTCAATACTCAAGAAGTACTTCAAGTTTCGAAAGTTTTTTATCTCAAACTCCTTAGTAAGATAGCTATTCAACTTCTGCTTTTCTATAGATCAAATATCAACACACACAAGGAGTGCAGTAACCTTGTTTTCATGTTAAATAAATTGGGTATAGTCATCTTGACTCTGTTTGTAGCCACACCTAAGCATAGCCCAAGTTAGCAAACTTTGTAGGTGAAAGAGTACTTTTGGCATATTACACTAGCAATAATATCAGACTTTGTTGCTTCAAATTTGCATAACAGTGCTTTTTTATTATATTGATTTACAGTGTGTTAGTTGCATTTAGTTTTCTTGTAAATTTGTAGAGCACTTCTTCCATTGTGCAACATCATCTATTTCAAACTGAATTATAATTAATATGGATGTATCTCATAGTGTTTTTTCATTTGAATAACATCTCATTTTTCATTTGGTAATCTGAGCTACTTGAATCTCAGTTTGCATGGCTGGATGCTGATATTTGCCATTAAAGGTAAGCAAATATTATAAAAAATTAAACTCTTTCTTTTGAAGTACTGGAGTAGTCTATAAACTAATATGCATTTCAATAGGATTATGCATAGTGGCTCACAAGGCTAACTAACAACATAATCTATATCTAGGTGAGTATGAGATGGATAAATTAACTTACCAATCAGCCTTTGATATCGCTCCCTGTCAAATGAATCTTTAGTTTCATCCCCTAACATGCAATTCTGCTCCAACATGGTATCAATAGCTTTATACCCAATCACACTTTGTCCTTAAGAAGGTCCAAAACATATGTTCTTAGTGAGATAAACACTCTCTTTGAGATGTTGCAACGTCAATACTCAAGAAGTACTTTAAGTTACCAAAGTCTTTTATCTCAAACTCCTTAGTAAGATAGCTATTCAACTTTTGCTTTTCTATAGATCAAATATCATCAACATACACAAGGAGTGCAGTAACATTGTTTTCATGTGACTGTTGAATAAATTGGGTATGGTCATCTTGACTCTGTTTGTAGCCACATCTAAGCATAGCCCAAGTAAACCTCTCAAATCTTGCTCTAGCAGACTTTGTAACTCATATAATGCCTTTTTAAGCTTGCACACTCCCATCAACTGAGAAATCCTCAAAGCCAGGTGGAACATCCTTAAATACTTCTTCCTCTAAGTCTTCACAGAGTAAAGCATTCGTCATATCTAATTGTTAAAAAGGCTCAATATGTTAATTCTCTAGAATAGGTCACATGAAGAGCTTTCGAAATGGCAATGCTGTGAATTTTAGTTAATTTGAGTGCTTAACTAACTTGCCATGATGCAAAATCGCATGCTCATATCAGTGAGTTTTTCAAGACTATGTCATATCGGGGAAATTCTACCTTGCAGCAAACTTGCCTCTACATCGTCTGGCTTATTTATTCTCTTTTCTGCAAAATGTGCTTTAAGCCGTATGAAATGTTCTTGAGTACTGTCATTGCTTCTAATCTGGATTTTCACGTGACTTTGTACTCCACTAAACCTAACCCACTACACCACTACCATCTCACCTACTCCACTAAACCTAACCCACTACACCACTACCATCTCACCTACTCCACTAAACCTAACCCACTACACCACTACCATCTCACCTACTCCACTAAACCTAACCCACTACACCACTACCATCTCACCTACTCCACTAAACCTAACCCACTACACCACTACCATCTCACCTACTCCACTAAACCTAACCCACTACACCACTACCACCTCACCTACTCCACTAAACCTTCCCCCACTTAAACCTACTCCACTAAACCTAACCCACTACACCACTACCACCTCCATTTCACCTACTCTTCACCTACTACACACTCACCCTCTTCTATATATAGGAATCATGAATCATTGTAATAAATATCAAAACATCAATCAATAATACATACAAAGTGGAGGTGGTAGTGGTGTAGTGGGTTAGGTTTAGTGGAGTAGGTTTAAGTGGGTGAAGTAGGTGATAGTGAAATTCTAACAGAAGATTATGAAAGCATGGAGAACTTATACTACTTTCCAGAGTTTGTACATTAATTTGAAACCTCTGTAATTTCCACTTATTATATAAATGAGTTCAAATTTCCAGTTGCAGGATGTTGATAAATGAAACACTGTCAATGGCAGATAACTTACCAAAAGAACAAGAAAAAAAAAAAGGTAGATCCTTCAACTTATACTAATATGATGAACAAAATATTCCAGTTCAGATTCAATTACTATATGCTGATATGCCAGTAGCTAGGGACTTCATTTTTCTTGTTTAGAGGCTTATTACCATTGATTTTACTGCTCTGTGTGCTATTTAACTTGTTACAAAGCCTTGTTTTTAGTGTAACTCTGTTGGATTTTATGTCAATTTCATCGCTGATATGAACAATTAAGATTACTGGAAAATCTGTTACTCTCAACATAGAGAGTTCTAACCTGCTGAAGCTAGCAGATGCTAATTTTTATTTCGAGTCAGCTTGAGGATGGTCGCACTGTGGCAATGCATTTTTCCATTGGTTAAATGGTGGATTCCCATAAAAATAAAAATATAATAGAAAGAAAGAAAAGAAAGAAAGAAAGAAAGAAAAAAAAGGAAAAAAAATGATGGATCATCAATCTTTCATGACAATAATATTCTATTTAACTCGTTAAAAAGCCTTGTTTTTAGTGTAACTCTGTTGGGTTCTATATCAGTTTCATCGCTGATATGAGCAATTAAGATTACTGGAAAATTTGTTGCTTTCAACATAGAGAGTTCTAACCAGCTGAAGCAAGCGGATGCTAATTTTTATTTCGAATCAGCTTGAGGATGGTTGGACTATGGCAATGCATTTTTCTATTGGTTAAATGGTGGATTCCCATAAAAATAAAAATATAAAAGAAAGAAAAAAAAAGAAAGAAAGAAAGAAAAAAAAGGAAAAAAAATGATGGATCATCAATCTTTCATGACAATAATATTCTATTTAACTCATTAAAAAGCCTTGTTTTTAGTGTAACTCTGTTGGTTTCTATATCAGTTTCATCGCTGATATGAGCAATTAAGATTACTGGAAAATTTGTTACTTTCAACATAGAGAGTTCTAACCAGCTGAAGCAAGCGGATGCTAATTTTTATTTCGAATCAGCTTGAGGATGGTTGGACTATGGCAATGCATTTTTCTATTGGTTAAATGGTGGATCATCAATCTTACATGACAATAATGTTTTCTGTTGTAAGCAATGTGAGGTTAGTTGGCTTTTCTAACATAAATTCTTCAACTAATTAAGGTGTATTGGTGGCTAAAGGAAATTGTTTGCTAGTGGAGATCCAGTCATCCTCTGATTCAGCCGCTATTATGTAGCTTGGGTGTTTTTTATATCAGCATCAACAGTTAGGGGTGAAGAATGGAACATTTCATTTTGCATGACAACTTGGTACTTTGAAATATACTTGTATAATCATATTACTGTACAGGGAATGTTTATCTCGGACTTATGAATAGGGATTTCCTGGACCAAACAACTCTTTGGCTCAATTGTTTTTTACCCGAAGTTAACATCCTCTTACTTTTGTTTCATATCCAAGTCTTTCCTACAAACCTGTATTGTCCAACAAGATGAGGGATTTTAACTTTGTTAATTAAAAATTTCTTTTCTGTGGTAGATATGTGGTTCTCGAACAATTAAGAGCTGATAAGGTGGTACTGAAACGGCACATGAATAAATCATCTTCTTGGAGGGAACAAGGTTTGATGAACCAAGACGATGATTATGGATGATCTAATGAATTTCAGCTGTGATGTTGAAGTTTATTTTATGCTCTTTTATGTTGTCCTGTTTCGTTACATTCTGTTTTGTTTCTAAAGTGACAAAAGTTGAAGTTTCTCTGTAGTCACTCAAGAATAATGTGGAGCACTCCCCAGTTGCACAAGTGACCTCTACATACTGGAGAGCTGTCCATAAGCTGCTCTGAATCCAGAACACCATTTCGGAGTCCCAGAAGCACCAGGTAATTTTTCTACTCTTCAATTTTCTTTTTCTTTTTTCTTTTTCGGCTGCTCTGTCTCAAATATTCTTCCCTAGCTTTCCCACTACACCTTCTGCTGCATAAACCCTAAAGACTGCTGTGATGGAGCAGCAGTGTCAACCAATTTCTTTGGTCGTTTTCTAATCAAATGATAGCATTTTGCTTAACTTCATCTGTCAAAATAGCCATCCAATTTATTCAAACCTGACTACTCTAACTTCCTCCAATTTTTTCACTAGCCTTTGCCTCCGTCTTTGTAGTGAGTTACCTATCACAGCCCAAGCTTTATAGTGACTTGCTATCTTCTTTGCTGCCACAACATTCTGTATTGCTATTTGATTCCCTACAACAGCAGTCCTCACATGCACCAATTGGTCTGTTTATGCTGTCTCCTTGCTACTCATTCTCACATACACCACACTAATAAGCATGAACGAGAAACACCCCCCCCCACCACACACACACACACACGCATTTTATCCAGTATCTGTAAGAATATGAGTATGTACACCTAAGAAGCATGGACACAGACACGTGACACGACATGGATACGACACGGATATACCGACACGTTAATTTTCAAAAAATGAAGGACACGACACGTAGGGGACACGCATGAAATATGTAATTTTATATATTTATTATATGTTATATATTTAAATATATCATTCAAAGATAATAAAAAATGCAATATGACACTAATTCCTATAAATTTATATGGTTTTTGATTTGTTATTGTATCTTAAGTTGTTTTATTTAAATTTATAATTAGTTTCATTTGTGCCCAATCGATAGACACGTGTGTTTATGCGATTGACATGTGTGTCCTCTAAGTGTCCAAAGTGTATCTGGGTCTTTAAAAAAATTTAAAAAATAAGACACGTTTTGAAGAGTGTCGGACACGTGTCCTAAGAGTGTCCAAAGAGTGTCGGTGTCCAACACGGACATGACACGGAAAGTTCCATCCTCTTTCGCTGGTATCAATTCCCTAGTCGTGTTCCATGTATGTAAGTGAACAAAAGAAAAGTTTTTCTAAAGTAATTTGAATTTTTTAATTTGTTTTATTTGGATTTACCTCAAAAGGGTAATTTGGAAAAAAAAAAAAAAATAGGATGTACTGAGAATAAACCATTACCCTAAATAATTTAGTAGGGTATATTGAAAATTGGGCTCACTTGAATATTTTTTGGGTGTAAATAGAATCTCCCAACTTATGCACATGCTCTGAATGGACTTTTGATAATTAATGGACAAATACTTCCTCATAAGCCCCAAGTGTTGTTAGTCCAGTCTTATTATATCTTGCTAGGCCTTTGGTAGTCAAGTACTACTGACCGGTCACAACGTTATCCTGTTTGGGACGAGATAAGGTCGTGATAGAGTGCGGGGGGCTTGGTTGGTGAGGGACGTAATTTATAGAGTGAAAATGGAGCGAACTGATGTAGTGGGTTTAGAGAGGGCATTTCTCGTTTGGGAATTTGATTATTTTACTTGATTTTTTTTATTTTTTTAACTATTTTAATTTACAAAAATGTTTTAGACCTTTAAAAGGAGAGCTCTAACGACCTGGAACCCACTATGATTTGTCTTTTTCTCTCTCTCTTTTTTTTTTTCATTGTCACCTCAGTAAAGCTCATTTTAGAGTTATTCATTTAGAGCTCTCTATCACCATTGTTTAATCTAATTAAAAAAAATTATGTTTGAGATGATAGTTGATTTTTTTTTTTTTTTTTGTGTAGTTAATTTGATGGTTGTGAGAGAAAAAATAAAATAATTATGATTTGAATATGACAATTTATTTTATTAATTATTTTAATATTTTTTTATCTTTATTAACTATTTTAGTTAAAATCACTCATCCCAAACAATACGGGTTTTTTTTATCAAAAAATAAAAAAGATGGGTTTAGAGAGAGAGAAACTGTGTGCAAAGTGCAATCAGTCATTCGACCCACAAACAATTGGAACTAGTTTTGCTACAGACACAACGGATCACAAATCTGTCACAGAAGCTTACTCGGTTGGTCATGTGAGCTAGGTATAGATCCTACTTACTAATAATTAAAAAAAGAAAGTGAAAAACAAATTTAAAAAGAAAAAAAATAGAGCATCGTTTCTCTGTTACTCTTTCCATCAAATCATCGTCAGCAGAGAGATGATTCTTGCTTCCAGTTCGAAGACTCTTTCAGCTTAAGTTTGAAGACCCCGTCATGGGAAGAAGGGGTGTCTCTATTTACACATTATATTTGGTCTCAAAGTATACCATAACTCAATTCATACCTTTAATAATTTGAAAAAAAATAATTTTTTTCAACACACACCACAACATTTCATTTTTGCCCTTAGTCCCACACCACATAGTACACACCTTTAGGAGTGTAAAAATGGCCCGCGACCTAAGGTGGGCCCCGGCCTGAGCCCAATTCGAGATCCTGGGCTAGGGCCTGACCATCATTTTGAAGCCCAACTTGACCTATGGGCCCTACTTGCTTGGCCCAACCCATCAGCTTGCTTAAAGCCTATTCAAGGCCCGGCCTGAGGTCCAGCCCGCTCGAGGTCAGGTGTCTTTTTTAGTGGAAAATAATAAACTTTTGGTAGAAATTTTTTTTTAAAAAAAAATAGTTAGGCCCGCCCAAACCCAAGGCCAGGCCCAGGCCCACAGGGTCGGCCTAAGGCCCGTCCCACCGGCCCGCCCTTGGCTTGAATACCCCTGGGCCTAATTTTTTTGCCCATGGCCTGGCCCGGCCCAGCCTGGTCCTGAATTTTGGCGAGAACTCGCGAGGCCCAACAGGGGCCGGGTCGGGCCAGATTTACACCCCTACACACCTCAAATTCAAAAAAAAAAAAAAAAAAAAACAAAAAAACAAAAAAAAATCCTAACTATTAGACACTTACCACCGACGGCAGCAGCCATCACCGGCAACTACCATCAATGCCAACTATGGCCACCATCATCAACCCTTCCTTCTGTCTTCACAACTGTCACCACCCACTTCCCAGTCCCGTAAGTCGCCTCCATTCCTAGAGACCCATACCTAGCAGATCACCACTACTATCTTCAACCCCTCCCTTCTCTCTCACCGTCGCGATTTCCAGCCCCTACAGTTGAAATCCTGGTCGCAATTGTGATCGCGTGTTGCTCATCTCTCGTGACCCCGATGGCACACCTTCGACTAAAAGAGAGAGAGAGAGATGATTGCGATCGCGATTTGTACTATCACAATCTATAAAGTGGTGGGTTTCTGGGTTGGTGATTGCGACGGGAAGAAGGAGGAAGGGTTGATAGTGGCGAGGGTTTGTGGTGCTGGGGATTCACCGGAGTTGGAGAGGGGCGACGAGGCGACGAGGCAACGACAGGGAAATGGTGGCAGCTGCAGCGGTGATGGCTAGGGTTAGGGTTTGGATGTGTATTCAACTAAGGTATGTATTCAATTGTGGTCATTTTGATTATTTTAGTTAAGGTTATTATTGTAATAAAAATTAATCAATTAATGGTGTGCCTTGAGACCAAATGTGGTGTGTAAATAGAGGCACTCGAAAAAGGACAATGTACATTAGAAAGAAAGTTAAATAAAAATAAGGGTAAATTATAAATACACCCCCTGAGGTTTGCTTAAAGTACAGATTGCCTATTGCGATTTGGAAAATTACAAATATCCCTTTATTAGAATTTTTTATTTAACAAAAATAACTAAAAAAATAAAATTACAAAAATAACTAAAAAAATAAAATTCATAATTGCTCTCCTATATAATAATAAAATTATCTAAATTATTAATTGAAACATATTTCTAAAATTATTAAAAACAGTTAATTGACTTAATGATTTATTAATAAAATGGACGATTTGTTATAAAATTAGAAACCTCAAGGGGTGAAATGTAATTTTCAAAATTACAAGAGGCGATTCATATTTTAATCAAATCTTAATGTATTTGTAATGTACCCTAAACATTATTTCTCCTAAGAACAACATGGCAGCAACCTTTGCGCTCTACACATTGCATCTTCAAACTCTTCACCCCTTCAAAGATGATAACAAGGAAATTAGTATAATTTGAAATGTCCCCACCAAGCTTTACCCAAAGAGGCACCCTCACTTTTATCAACTCCACTGTTTGTTTGTTTGTTTATTTTTTTAAGGCTCAGATGACCACCAAATTAATAATATTCCAAATTCGTGTTTTGTTTTGTGTTTTTTTATCAATACAGAAACCACCACTTGCAGAGAGAAATCATATAAGCAAGAGTCATCCATTTCAACACCCATTGGACCAAAAATTATTGGTTGGTCCTGTGGAGACCATGTGGTCATATCCCCTCACAGATCATAATTCATCATGTCCTTTTAACAGTCGATCAACACAAATTTATAAATTTCACCCATGTACCAATCATAATACTGTTAAAACACTCCAAGATCAGCCAATAACTTCTCCATCAGGGCCCATTTGTTTCTAGAGGTAGAATAGAGGGGATTGTTAGTAAGGAGATTGTTAGTGAAGAGACTGATAGTGAGAGGATTAAGAAAAATTGTGTTTGTTTGATAACTAGTGGGCTAGTAATAGTTCATGTTTGTTTTGAGAAATAAGAATAAGATTAATCATGTAAAATTTCACAAATATTCTTATTATATTAATATCAAATTTGAACTTATACCAACTAATAAATGCATTACCCAATTAAACTATTCAAAAACTAAAATTAAAATTATACAATTAAAAATAATAAAGAATTCAACTATTAATCTATTTATTATTATTAAAGAAACCAACCAATGCTATCTCCAAAACCAGCCCATGGTTTTGAAAAAGTGTTCATCCCATTAGTGTGGACTTGGCCCCTGTTTTGCAAATATCATGCTCCCCTACTCCAGTTCTTTTCCTACCTCTTGCATGTCTCTCTCTTGCTCAAGTTTTGCCAATGATGACCACAAGTTAAGCAGATTGGAGCTCTATCAGCGACGATCTCAACCTTCATATTCGTCAACAATGTTCTTGACCTTCAAATCCAAGGTGAGGCGAACTTGATGAAGACCAAAGTGCTGGATCAGTCTTTTCTCTTGATAATCTTGTTGTGATTTTGTTGGTTTTTCGATTATTATTTTGTTAATTTTGAGAACTTGTTAGATAATATTTGTAATTTGTTTGTGAATTTGTTGATTTCTTTTGTTATTATTTTTTGATATTTGTGATTTTGGAAATTTGTTAAAAAAAAATTAAAAGCAGTTGAATTTTTGTTTGTGATTATCTTTTTTGATTGTTTCTCGTTAAAAATTTGGAGGAGGGATCTGTTTTTCTGCTTGATGATATGGTGGATAGTCTGGTTATTTACATTATAATCCCAACTGCTTCGTTTTCAATATCAAGTCCCATGGGGGATTGTTAATTCGTTCGACTGAGGGGATTACTATGACTTCCGTGCAGCAATGTCAAAACAAGCTTGATATTAAAATGTGACTTCTCATTATTAGTCCAATACCAACCCATATCACGGAAAACAAACAGGCCCTTAGAACAAGCCATCAATCCAAATTTCCCAATCACCCCGTACGCTTTTCTGAGGTCATCTCTTACTCTCCTTTTGGAACTGCAAATCATTCTCTCCGAATTCAACGATTGTACAGATTAATGGGTTTCATAAATAAAATTTTAAAAATAACTCTTCCTCTATATTTGCCCTCTTTGTGTCTTTATTTTCTGATTCAGGCGGTGGCTGAACTTGAGGCCATGAGTTCACTGTTTTATTTCGATATTCAATTATCCAATATTTTGAGTATTTTATTTATAATAAAAAAAAAATTATTTGATAATCATAATTTATTTAATTTATTATATTTATCACTAAAAAAAATGATAATTATATTTTTAAAAATAAATCATTCATTTTTTTGTGACAAATGCAATCAATTGAATAAGTTCTAATTATCGGATTGATTTAGTTTTTTTATGTAAATAATATACACAAAGTGTTCAACAAAATGATTAGTTTGGATTATCAATATGGGACTCTTTGTGGGCCTCATGGGTCCGAACAATTGCCTTCGGTATAGATTTTGGATTGGAGGGAATCCAACTCCATAAATTTGCTCGGTGAAATTACAAATTAGTGAAATAGTTAAAAAGTAATTGCACTATAGATGAAATTTTTTGTGATGCAATTTTGACACATAAAATGGATTTGCATCATACACATTAAAAACTTACACTACCATAAAAATGAAAATATTTTTTCATTGGACCACTTAAATGCATTTTCCCTAATTTTCTCAACCTTTATTTTGCCTTTTTCAACTTAACAGAATACTTCCTTCCTCTTGCAAATGAGACTGGCCCGGTTATTATTTAAAAGTAAGGACTAATTGGGACATACTATGGTACAGATCACCTCTAGGATGTGCACCATATACGGGCAAGTTAATGGCTTATCCTTAACAATTTCAGAGATAATAGTCG